CTTTATTATTTGATCAATAATAACATTAAACAACATTTAGGGGCAATCTGGTCATTTTAATAGTTTTGTCCCGTCCTGTCCAGCTTACCAAACGCATGACAGACAATTAGTCCAGTCTTGTTCTAGTCGTACCAAACGTAGGACAGACAATTAGCCTTGTCCTGTCCAGTCCCGTCCCGTCCCATCCCATCCAGTCTGCGTACCAAACGCTATCTTAAAACAAATCATTTTATCACATCAATAGGATACGATAATCCAAATTCTCGCATCACACAGATGCGATAACTCATGATCATTGCATCATAAGGATGCGATAACAAAACCTCATGATCAAAAAAATCATCATTTCCAAAAATTGATTATGTCATCCTTATCACAAGTTAACCCAACTCCTGATTATGCCACCCTTATTTCAAGTTTAGCCAGCTCTTGATTATGTCACCCTTATTATAAATTACCCGGCTCCTGATTATGTCACCCTTATTACGTCATATGATATAATTATGATAAAAACCACCATTTTGCCAATAATAGCATCAAAACAGTTTAATAACAGTTGCTCATTTAAATAACCATACGATTTTATACCCAGTCTCACCACCATGCTCAAATAACATCCAAAAACAGTTTTATCATCATCCTCATGTAAGAACCATACGGTTCAATTTTCAAATATCAAATAAGAAAAGTTGATAAATTAAATTCACTTTATTTTCATGTAGATGAAAATGAATTAACACAACAACAACAACATTTTAAATAGAAGTCATAGAATCAACTTTTCTTCCTCTCCTTTACAGGTCTGTTTTTCACTCAAGAGAACAAACACACAGAAAAGCTTTCTTATCTTTCTTATTTACTTCATCCACATCCCAATGAGATAATAGACACTTATCTCATAATAATACTACTTTAAAACAATGAGGCGGTGAAGGTTTTTAAAATAATTAATCACACTCACCCATGAGATAAGACAAATATCTCATATATAATAACATTTTAAGCACATTAAACCCCCACTTACCATTACTTTTAAAAAACAACCCCAATCAATATAACCGAATAACCCGGTTATCACATTTAATGTGAAAAAATTGGAGGTCTATATAACCCTAGCTTAATAGAAAAAAAAATCTCAAATATATGGACTTCTTCGTATATTTTAGAGATGATCTGATCAGTACGGACCATGATGATGAACTAGATATGGACACCTCTAACAAAATTTCATTCCTAAACAAAACCCCATTTTTGATTCATTTCATCATATTCGACGACCAAAACAAATGAGAAATTTGTCTCTTTTTCATTTTCTCAAAGGAGCGTGAAAACACACAAGATCTCTTCAACAATAATAGTAAGTGTAAGAATACATGCAACTTCATAAGCTTGTTCTGCAAAAGATCCCTTGAGAAAATAAACAGTTCGTCCATGTCTAACTGATGTGAGACTCTAATACGCCCCCTCCAACAGAGACTGGACAGATAAATATGTTCTCGATGGTAGACCTTAACTCCGATATCAAGTGAGAACATGTAAACCCCCGTTAGATTACTCTTCAAAAAAGCTATCAAAGAGAGAATGAGAGTTCCATCATATATTTAAGAGAGCGTCCAAATCTAGCCGGCTCTAACATTAAGATCTAACAAACTAAATATCTGTGAACTTGAGTTCGGCCAATAAACTTTTAAATCAAACCCGATCCATACAATGAGTAGAGCTCACTTAGTTACAGTTGTGCTTGCAACTCACAATGCAACTCATTGCTACTTTAGGTTTCCCGACAAGGATCTAGACATAGAGAATTTACGGGACAAATTAAAAACTAGTAGCAGTTACTGCATGACAGTTGGTCAGTAATCATCCAAAGAGATGAGCAATCTTGAATAGATAGATGGATGCAGGTCGTGGGTCGTTTCAGGTTCTTGAATCGCCTACGAGTTTGATCAATGTTTACAATAACCAGTGCCCACTTCATAATGTAGATCATTCACTCCACTCCACCTGAAACAACTGAACAAGTAACATTAAAATGCGAAAAAGCAACAATTCTTGCAAGTTGACAACAGGTGATACTATGTCTCACTCGTAAGTAGGGTTGGAAGTAAGATGTACGTTGACCTGACCTCTACCCAAATAAGTTAGAAGAGTTGTTTCTTGGAAATGAGAAAATGTTACTGCTTGTTAAGGGCAAATTTGTCCTAACTCCTAAATGTAAGTTTTGGTTAAAAACTTACCACTTGAGATCAAGATGTAGCCTATTTGCATCATTTCTGCTCTTCTACAATCTCACAGAGATCTAAATCCGCAAGAGTTTCCTTCCCAAACAATGTGAACCCAACCGTTGCCTGCAAAAGAAGATCTTTTTAAGTGCAAATCAAGCTTCCAAGAATGCCAAAAGGAACTTTCTTTTTAGTTCTACGTTTCAAGATTTACATACAAGTGACCAATTAGTCCTTCCAAGTTTAAGTGCACATGAATCTTCAGCAGGTATAGGAACAAGGGCAAAAAAGGAATGCATACCATTCCTCTTTTCTTATCTAGTTTCTTTATGGTGCCTGTGAAGTCTGTAAAGGCCCCCGACACGATTCGTACAGTTGACCCTAAAAGAATCCCTGAAGGTTTTCTGGATTGTCCTTTTGTCTTTGCTGCAACTAGCTTTTGATCTGAAAGTGAAAGCAATCTTTTATCAAGAATTTCCAACTCATGACCAACTTCATGCTCTTCTTCAAAAGCTTTATCTGACGCTTCCTGTTTCTCCTTCACTTCTTGAAATATTTCTTCCATATCAGCATCAGTTATGGGCCTTGGTTTGTTAATCTGTCTCTTTCTGCAAAAAATTTCACAAGAAAAACCAACATGATTAAAAGCATAGATCAGTATTAATTAAAATTAGCAGCTGTTTTTGTTTTTAGAGTGGCTTATTGAAGGAGATATTGCAATTGAAAAGCATGAGAATGCCAAGAAGAAGAAGACCTTACGTGTTTSCAACCATTTGTCCAACGAATCCTCCAACCCCATCACATTCTCTTATAAAATTGTGGAGTTCCCTATTCAGTGTGCAATGCAAAAACACGCATCCAGGATAGAGAGGCTTCGGTTTAACTGAGATTGAACCGTTCTTCAACTTCTTTTTCTCATTGACAGCTGCAGCATATACCTGCCATGAAATCAGGAATGCATCAAAGACTGATCATAAGCTCCTTCTTTCCCCAATCAACAGAAATATAAATTCTTCATAGTAGTATGGAGGGTTGGAAATAATAATCATGAGGGTCGGAAGTAAATGGTTTGACATCATAACCAAAAGATCGATTATACATATTTTGTACCATGGAACCAAAGTTCTACACTAGGCTCGTTTGGTTTGATGTGGTTTGGTCTAAAATCTGAAAAAGTGAATTGGGTAAGATTCTTGGTCCTTTCTATGCCTCTTAGCAGGTAAGATTCTCGGTCATTGTCATGATACCCGGTAAGCACTTACCCCGTTAGCGTTCGGTAAACGGTCCCTTAGTCTTATTAATCAAGACTTTGCCTTCTGGTTTTCTGACCTTGCTTTCTTAAGGACACTTGGTGCATATTGTTTAGGTTTTGGGGTGCTGCCCCGAACCCGCAAGGGACGCTACCCCTAGACCCCTGCTTAATAGGGAGCTCAGGTTTTAAGTTAGCTTATATGAGCATGCACTCTGCAACTACTAACCCATATTGTATTTGTAGCTTAACCAAAACCCCATCAATCTCTTGTAAATCACAGTTACACCAAAAATCTTGATGACAGTAAGATCACCAAAAGGAACAAGACATTGTGAGTATATACTCGCAACCCCTTCATGGGTTGTGAATGAGTTGAAAATTGAGATTGGAGTCAGCGGCTGTTTACCTTCAAACCTTAATAGTCTCTGTAGATGACATAATACTAACCAAGGATGATAAGGAGCACAAGTCGTTAGTATTGCTTAGCTATGATTAAGACCTTGGGCAGGTTGAAATATTTTCTAAGAATTTAGGTGGCACATTGAAAAAGGGGGATTTTTATAAAGTATTATTACACCTTAGTATTGAATCAAGATTTTGTGCAATGGCACAAGGTGGATGTGAATTACTTCGACCGGAATCATCCAACAAAACTTGAAAATCAAGTGTGAAGATCCTATTAAGCTCTACTGAGATAATAAATCAACAATAGATGTAGCTCACAACTCGGTTCAACATGATAGAACAAAACACGTCCACGTGGATAGATATTTCATCAAGCATAAACTTAGGGACAAGTTGATGACATTCTCACCAAACAGACTGGCTAGCTCAGTGTTTGAGAATACTGTATCCAAGTTGGAAATGAAAAATTCTCAGCTTAAGGAGGGTGTAACTTTGTAGCATTAATCTAGGAGGCTTAAATTGTTGTAGATTGTAATCCAAAAGGGGGATTTTCTACAACTAGATTCTTGATTTTATGTTGTATTCTCTGTGTACAAAAGAGGCTGTCTCTTGCCAAGGCAACAAATCTAACACAAGTTGGACTAAAAATGTATTCTGAAAGGGTCTCTATCCCTACCTAGGGTACTCTTTACAAGAATTCTGAACTTCCAAAACATTCTCAAGGTCAAAATCTATGGTGATTTCACAATATCAAACAGTTCAAATCAATTGACAACACATTCTGCAAAATCAATATAAAGCATGACAGGAGAGGGTGATACCTTAAACTCAGCATCAGGAAAATTGCGATGGAGTGCCTGCATCATCTTTACAACAGTATCCTTACCGGTAGCTCTGGAGACCTTGACAATCCACCATCGGGGACCCAGAAGAGAGAGTTTGTCAAGGTTAAGTTCTTCCTTCCAAGACTTAAATTCCTTCTTGGGTTTCTTCAGTAACTTTTCTTCGACTTCTTCCCTCCAATTATACAATCGATTTTCGTCTCTTTTGGCGTTCCTCATCTCTCTTTTCTCTTTAGCTGTAAGAACTGCTGTTTTTTCGGACTGGAGAGTTGCTCGGATAAGGAGCGTGGTGGGTTTTCTTGTGCAGATAGGAGCAAGTGTGGACGGGAAGGGAAGAGGGAGGAAGGTCTGGCACGGACGCCATGGGAGAAGAAGGTCTTGATTCATCTTTGTATGAACGTTATCGCTTTACTGTTTCAGTATTTGATAAAAACCAAGGTTTATTATGTCATATCTATAAAATAAAATAAAAAGTCCTCTACAAATTGTTCATAAAACTACATCTTCAATCATAACGGTGGTGCTTGATTGGTTTGAACTTTATTCCAAAGGTAAAAAATATCGGGAAGTACCATGTTTAAATCCAAAGAGAAATAAAAATCCCCTTTTGGCCACGGTTCAAATGCAATGACTCTTGGCTATCTGCAATGACTCCGGTCACCCTGGGATTAGTCGACTCGCATAACAGATTAGATATCCATGTTAATAAAAAAAAACTACATTTTCAAGGTCTCCTTATATGTACCCGTTCGAGTTGTTTAATGTCATTGCGATTTTCTTGATTATTCTTTGGAACCTGTTATTAATTGAGGTACGCCAAAGTCGATCAAGACACCCAGGTTAACAAAAGGAACTACATTTTTCTTAACTCCATAGGTCATTCATCGAAACGTACAAACTGTTGGGCGCCGTATATTGATTTTCATATATAACTATATGTTATGCTCTTGCCCTATAAAATGATATTGTTATGTCCATATAAAATCAAGACAAACTCCTATTAGATGGTAGTTGAGATGAGAGTGGTTATCAACGAGGTATCGACAATTGACAAGTACACTAACGACCACTATCAAGATTTTCACTCTGACCAGTATCAGTTAAAACACCCACTTATCACTACACGTTGAAGCACTAAGGCACTGGATCTTACTAGTCACTCACTTAACGCACCAGGCACTCATCAAAGACATCGATCCATGCTAGGGTGTGCCATCTTTAAGGTCGCAACCTCATACCCATTTAAGGGTGTGACACCCTTGAACCTTGCTATACAAAGGTCTTTAGTGAGCCCATACTCAAGTTAACATAAACAAGCGTGTTTTACGTAGTTTTTATTTTATCTTTTGAAGCTCAAATCAGAACCTTTCTTTAGCTCACAATTAATCAATCACACAAATACGTGAAAATTTGGGGTAGAATTCGTTTCATGCTTACCACAAAACCTATATAGAAAACACGATTCCCTAGCAATACAATGGACAACCTTGTTTGTTTAAACAAGAAGAATGTAGGTATACTTGACCCTAATAATATTTCCTTACGGTTTCTCGATGACAGAGCCAAATGAGGAACTTAGTCTCGTAACTTACGTTATAGTTTCTAAAACCCTTTTAGTCTCGTGTATATCTCGATTATACCAAATGCACGATGAAACCAAAATCTCCACATATTCGATTCCTAGATTATTTCATGTGTATGAATGAAAATCAAATTAGTGAATAACAATATCGTTGAGACGATGAAAGGAACACCAAAGATAATTCCACATCATGGACACCGGTCAGCCATCGGTATGGATTACCTAACGATATATGCTAATACAGTAGATTCAAAATTGAGTTTTTATTTAGGGTGACAAAATTATGAACTACGGAAGTTACGTCTTTTGAAGTATTCGGAGTTTCATAATCTTTATCTGCGGAGGCTCGACCAGTGATACGCTTACTTGACTAAAGTTGAAAATCAAATATTTCATAACCTAAATGATAACATATGGTTTTAGATTTTTGTAATTAAAGTTTGAATGATTTCAATATCTTAGATACAATTTTAAGTTTTTATAATTTAAATTCATAATTCTAAAATTAAATTTCAAGTAATATAGTTTGTGAGGTATTTTTGTAAATAATTGTTAAACTTTACACTATAATCTTTTTGCCAATCCTACTTAAAACTTGAAATAGTCTGATCCAACTAATAATCTCTCTTTTACTTATTTCAAATTTTCAACGGGTCAAAAATCGGTCATGGGTCGGGTCGGGCCAAGCCTTACCATTTCCGGGCCTCAACAGTGTCGGCCGTAACCGGTCCCAGCCTATGTCAAAAATGTTGAGCCCGGTTAAGGTTAGTTATAACCGGTTACAGTCAGGCCGTTCCTAGTCCCATACTATTTTTTTTAATGATAGATTTTTAAAATACATTATAAAATTTGTAATTTGGTCACTCAATTACATTTTAAAAATGCGTTTTATTATAATTCAAATTACATTGTCTTCCAAATTGTGAATGTTTTTTTTTTGCCTTTTTTTGCAAATTAAGAACTTGGTATGTAAACCCCTTAACCAAGACACTTATTTATAGTGTTTAGAAGACAAAAAATCCAATAAAACGACCACCTAACGGCTATAAACGACTAGTTTTAAAAAAAAACCCGAGCCGGTCTCATAACCGGTCCTAATCCCGGGCCATGCCGGTCCTTGACCGGTCCCGAACCAGATCGGACCGATTTGTCCATCACTAATTTCAACTATGGATTGGAAGCCCATGTTGGAAAACCCTCTTGGGTTTTATGCATAAATTTTTGAGCTTTAGGTTTTGCAATTCTACACCAACATTTCTGTTTTTGAAATTCACGTTTCAGAATTATTTGTCATTGCTTCACTATTTACAAAATGACAATATTTTCTAACACTTTAGTTTAAAATATCAATACATAAAATGACTTATGTATTGATTAATTTGGATACCTAATATGTTATTTAAGCCGATTAATCCCAAAGAAACCACCTATGAAGTCACCACATTTAAACCTTCATGGCCACAAAGAGATTTTTATTTCTTTTTAGATTCGAACTTGCAACCTCCAAGCACTTGAGTTGTGTATTTGTAAATCATCAAAAAAAAATGCATATAATTTATCAAAGTAAATACATAGACTTGTATCAACCAACTCTAAGGTGCTGTTTGTTTTAAAAAAAAAAGCACTTAATTGCCTCTTATGTCTGAATCGGTCAGACATTGAGGGATTAAGTGCGTTTGTTTTTTTTTTAAAATTAAGTGCTTAAAACATCTGATTTCATCTGAATTATTTAGAGGTAAAATGCAGTCTGAAAACCTCTTAATTGCGTCGCCTCAAGCTCTCGCCTACCCTCCGCCATGTTCCTCTCCCTCTCCTCCCCGCTCCCCTCCTCCACCACCTCCATTTCTCTCCCTAAACCCCACCTCCACCCGCCACCACTCCGGCACCACCTCCCACCCTTTCTCCACTCCGGTGTCGGTATCGTCGATCGATCACCGTCTCCGGTTCCTAAAGCATCGGATGCACTGCCTCCTCCTTCATCTACCTCCTAGGGTTTTTCGGCATCGATTTCGTTCAATCCTTCGGAATCGAAGCTTGGGGACTACATCAGGGTTGCTTGAGCTTTGATTTGGAGATGATTTGAAGGAGGTTTTAGAGACTGTTTCATGTGGGTGTGATGTGATAATTTTGATTTCTAGAAGAGGGTTTTTTCTGTAATCGAAAAGAAGAACAGAACATGCCTTCTGATTTCCATTGTGAGCTTGGATCGTTTGAACACCAATTTCGTTTAAATGATTGGATATTTCAGTTAAATTTAATTGAAATGAATTGATTCAGATTTCAGACTTCAGCACCACCTCTTAAAATTCAGAAGTGAATTCAGACTTCAGACTTCAGCACCTCTTAAAAAACAAACGCCACCTAAATAACAAATGATAAATTCAATAAAATATATAATTTTTTTTTATAATATATGATAATTTATATGTACAAAGTAGTTGTTTGTTTACCACTTAATAGTTCCATTAAAAGACAACCTCTTAATCATTAAGAGGTGAATTTTGTTTGACAAAAAAAAAGTTTGCCTTTTTATGGTTTTAAAATTCTCTGAATGATTTTGTATCATGAATCTCCCTTAACCATTAAGTGCCCTAATTTCGTTGTATACAATTACCAAACAATTATATTTCATTTTGCACTATATCATGAGAGCCTCTTAATCATTTTGCAGCAAACCATTCAGCAATTGTCAAAGAGCCTCTTACTTAAAAATAATTTAAGTAGGGACTAATTCTGTAATGGGTCCAGTAGTTGAAGTAGTATATATGTAATTCACAATGTTTCACTTAATGTTTAGCGCCGAAACCTTAAACTTCTTTCCCTCCTTAAACAAACCATTTTTACACCATCTCAATTTTTTTCAAATACTCCCGCCCTTCCTCCTTCCTTCTTATGCCTCCTTCTTCAATCGCAGATCTCTTCCTTTCAACCTGCACTTAGGCTTCAGACATCGGAACTCAAATGGGGAAGCAAACCAAATCCAAAAGGTCGGAGAATGCAGTAGGCAAAGGAAAGGTAACCCCAGTTCAAGTCGCGTTTATCGTCGATAGATATCTATCTGACAACAATTTTGTTCGGACTCGATCCGTTTTCCGATCTGAAGCTTCACTTCTTATTTCCAAATCACCGGTTAACGAGGTACCCATTTCTTCATTTTCACGTTTTCTTGTTGTGATTGTTCATTTTCTTCGTGGTTGGGGATTTTGAGCTGAAGAATTTTTTGTTCTTGTGTAGGCGCCCAAGAGTTTGTTGAGTTTAGGGGATATGTTGGATGAATACATTTGTTTGAAGGAACAGAAAGTGATTTTAAATCAAGAAAAGAACCGATTGGAGCAGGAGAAGTTTCGGGTGCAAACGTTGTTGCGTGGAATGCAAGATGCGATGAATGCTTATAATGTTGGCGGAGCTTCTGCTTCTGCCGCCGCTCCTCTGCCATCTCCGATGGTTATGCCCATTCTGTCGGCGGGGAATACTTTGGCGTCCCCTGCACGTAATAATTCTCGCTCATTATTTTGAACCCAATTTAATCTTAAAACGCATGAATACTGTTTAATTTATATCTGCACTTGGAATTTGTTGCTCCACTTCGTGCCCTAAATTTTGTTTTCATGAAATTTTAGTTTTTCCCTTTTTGAATGTTCATAAGCTTATTATGGTGTCGATCCTATGCTTATTTCTTGATTACCCCTTTAATGTGTTTGTAATTCAGATGTCGTAAGCTTATTATGGTGTAGTTGAGAACCCTAATTCCCTTGATTGAAATCACTTGGTGAAATTGGATGGCCATGATTGACCTCACAGATTGCTCAATTGGTCAATTTCAGAAATTAGAACCACCCTTTATGCTCATTGGTTGATAGCACCATAAAGTTGTTAACTTTTATATTCAGAAGATCCAACAAGAAACTTTGTATATCTTGAGTGATGGTTGCAGATGTGAACGTATTTGATTCATTGCTCAACATTTAACAACCTTTGTATATCTTTTAAGTTATTTTAACAAAGAAAATACTTGATTCAGCGAGTTTTCCGGTGTACGACACCCAAGTCATGATGTCAACATCCAGACCTTCCAACTCTCTATCAGAAGTCACAAATTTCTCAACACCAACCACGAGTCAACCGAATTCAAAGAGAAGGAAAAGCACAAAAGATGTCTCTGGTGCCCCATTAGCTTTAAAGCGATCGCGCATTCAACCGTCAGGCAACCAACTCAAACCATCTGGTAAATAAATCTTGATCTACATATGATTCTTTTATATGATTGCTGAGTTTAGTTTCTAACATGTTTCACTCTCCAGGTGCTACTAAATTGGTTTCACAACCAACAGCTACATCAAGTAATCAAGAAACTGTTTTACAAATCACCCCAGCTCCATCAACTACTAAATCATCATTGGTTCAAGGTTCTAGTGTTGCCAAGTGTTTGTTCAATCCATCCAGTCATTCTCCTGGTCCTCAAACACCCTCACCTTCTCCAATCGACAAATCTATCTCTCCTGTTGATAATCAAACTCCACCTTCTAGTAACAAGAAAACCATCACACCTCAGCAAATCACATCAACAAATCGCACTGTTATCACTTCTGAGACCATCCAAGTGAGTCCCATGAAACAAGTATCTTACTATTCGATTGAGAGGAATCATTGCATTTCTTCACCATTGAAGTCAAGTGCACAAAGGTTCACTAAAAGGGATCATGTCAAAGGAAGACTGGACTTCGATGGTTCTGAAATGGCAGCAGTCAGTTCAGAGATGTTAACTTCTGACGAGAATACAGGATCTCCATCTGAAATAGAAGACAATGCCTTTGATTTTGACTTGCCTAATTTAGACTGTTTAGGAGTAGATTTCAATCTTACTGATTTATTGGGTGATTTCGATCTTGATGGTGATCGACTTGACTACTTTTGCCAGCCAGCTACTGGATCTTCTCCAGAGTCTCTTTCAGGGTAACACTCACCACCTGTTCTTCACTTGGACAATTTCAGTCTTTTCAACTAATTCTAATACCCTTTTTCTTCATTATCCATTAGATCACCAGACAAATTGGTGGATGGTTGCACAGGTGATCATGAACTTCTGTCAGGAATGTCTTCCACAGTGACCGAAATCCGGTCTGAGCAAGACATGAATATGCCAGGTAACAAATTAGCTCCATCTTTTAAAGCTTACATATGTTTCAGTGTAGAAATAGAAATAGAAGTTCTAAAGTGGTTCTTGACCGCTGCAGGGCCGAATTCGAGGACATCCGTGACATCAATAACCAAATGCATCAAAGTATTTAGTCCAGGTATATTTCCTTATAACTTTGGTATTATTCACACATGAATCATCTTCAAGTTACTGATTGATTATGTTCACAGTGAAAAGCCGCAAGACTACAGGATCAGATCATGAGAGTTGCGGTGTTGAAGGGCGAGTGGCTTAATAACAAGAACAGCTGAGCTGATAATTTGCTAACATGGTGCAAATATAGTAATTACTGCCATTAAATGGTGTTCTATTTACTACAAGTTCTTTTGTTTCTTGAGATTAGACTGAAACATTAGGACTGATATACCAATCTGTTGTTTGGCTAGTTCCCCTTGATCATCATCATCTTCTTTACATGGGTGTTTAAAAATGGATGTAACTTGCTTAGTTGACTTGTAGTACATTAATAGAATGATTATTTTGCTCATATTATATGAGCATGGTTGGATGATGCATAACTCATGGTTTGAAGGCATCTGATTCATGTCATTTTGATGTTATTCCTCTCGGTCCCATTGTCAGCCGTTCTTTATCATTGGCCTAACCCATCACGGTGGTTGGCTCCTGCCATCGATCTGCCTTTTTATATGTTTTTAGATTCTCTCTCTTTCTTATTTGTTTATACGTACTTTGCTAAATTGTTGTAAAAGAGGAAGAACCAATGAAAAACAAAAAAGAAAAGATAAAAGAAGAGATTGATGGTAGAGGCCAACAACAATGATTGGTAGTATGGACAACAGACACCGAAGGGACGGTGAGAGGTGGTGAAGGGAATCGATGTTGTTGGCTGCAAGGGTTTGAATGTCGTAGGATTTGAAAACAATAAAACTAATTTATGTTTTTTTACTTAAAACTCTTTCTAATTGGTTACAAGTGCTTTTATTACCTAAAAAAGTATATATATATATATA